GTCGAGTTGTGTGAGAGATCAACAATGAGACGATACGGTTGATCTCTCGACTTTGTGTTAGAGATAAACTCTGTTGTGAGCGATACGTGATGATATTGCCGAGCGAATTAGGTTGCGTGCATTTGATCCATATATTTTTTAGTACATGATGGGTAGAACGAAATACAACTCCTGAAGAGTTTTCTCATTTCTTAAGAATGTACTTATTTTCTTGTTTTATGTTTGTTTTTCCTTTTGAATTTTTATCCCAAACCATTTAAACCCAAGTTTAGAGACGTAGAGATTGTCGAACGGCATTCTTTCCCTCACACTGATCCCTGTGGAGACGATAAATCCCGGAGGAAATTCTTCCGAAAATAATATTTTTGCTTGCTGCTTTACCGCTTCAACAAAATGGCGCCGTTGCCGGGGATTGGTTGTGATATTGAGTCGCATTGCGATAGTTTCTATATTTCTAAGCTTTGCACATAATTGTATATATATGCTTGTATAGATACTTGTTTTGCTTTTGTCTTCCAGTATGTTTGTTTAAATGTTGTATATATTTTTTTCTCGTAACATTTGTTCAAGTGGTTGGTTAGGACACTTGCTTTTTGTTTGCGCGGTGAGACATCACATGGCATGAGGAAGGAAGTTACTAGCTAAGCACAATAAAGGCGTCGAGCTTACGACGTAAAACAAGCATGTTTTTTCCATTTTTGTTTCGTTATTACTTTTTCCTTCTAGCTTAGGTAGTGTGGTGAACATTCATTAAACAAGTTGTTCTCGGATTATTCGTAAAATTCTCAAATCTTCACTTTACAACTTGTTTAATCCATTTTCACCCGGTATTTTATTGTTGTTTGGACTCAAATTTTTGTTTGGTAGCTTGAGGTATTTGAGGTGGTTTTCCAAGTTTGAGTGTTTCAACTTGCAAATGCGTGGTAATGATAGTGTTTAAAGTTTTGTACACGTTCAAGGTATGTGTTTATCGCTTTCTAGGCTTTAGCATATTCATGATACTTAGACTTTTTACAATTTCCATGCCATTCATTCTTTTGTATACTTGTTCATTTTGTGAATCACTTTAGTTCCCACCTTTTTGTGAGGAAGCCTTTCGTTGTTCATATATGCTCGGAGTACCAATATTCTTGTTTTAACTGGATTTTATTATGCTTAATCTTGTGTGTGTGTGTGTGTGTGTGTGTGTGTGTGTGTGTGTGTGTGTGTGTGTGTGTGTGTGTGTGTGTGTGTGTGTGTGTGTGTGTGTGTGTGTGTGTGTGTGTGTGTGTGTGTGTGTGTGTGTGTGTGTGTGTGTGTGTGTGTGTGTGTGTGTGTGTGTGTGTGTGTGTGTGTGTGTGTGTGTGTGTGTGTGTGTGTGTGTGTGTGTGTGTGTGTGTGTGTGTGTGTGTGTGTGTGTGTGTGTGTGTGTGTGTGTGTGTGTGTGTGTGTGTGTGTGTGTGTGTGTGTGTGTGTGTGTGTGTGTGTGTGTGTGTGTGTGTGTGTGTGTGTGTGTGTGTGTGTGTGTGTGTGTGTGTGTGTGTGTGTGTGTGTGTGTGTGTGTGTGTGTGTGTGTGTGTGTGTGTGTGTGTGTGTGTGTGTGTGTGTGTGTGTGTGTGTGTGTGTGTGTGTGTGTGTGTGTGTGTGTGTGTGTGTGTGTGTGTGTGTGTGTGTGTGTGTGTGTGTGTGTGTGTGTGTGTGTGTGTGTGTGTGTGTGTGTGTGTTTTTTGCTTATAAATAGGATCAAATCATAAAAGCAAGTTTTTGCTTCTAAATAGGATTAAACTAGTAGTCTTTTTTAGCGGTGTTTGTGATTGCAGATCACTTTGCAAATCCTCGTGAAAGCAAGTTTTTGCTTTTAAATAAGAAACTAGTAGTCTTTTTTAGCGGTGTTCATGATTGCAGTTCACTCTGCAAATCTGTCAATTCAAACCGACAAACTCATAAATTATCCGAACTTATTCTTTTATTCATTTATAATTAAAATATTAAAATAATATTTTTTATTTAAAACACAACCCGCAAATTTAATCCAATCCATAAGTAATCAGATTAATTTGGTTCGATTTGATTATGAAGTTGTGGGATAAATGAAAAATTTAATCCTTGGGTTGGATAATGCATTAAGTCAAATTCAATTCAACATATTACGTGTACACCCTTAAGTTTTAATGCTTAAGTTTCGATCCCAATTAAATAATCATTCGTGTTTGAGGGAGTGATTTGCCGCTTATTATAGTCTTACCCAACTTGAAGAATTAATCTTCGCAATTGCCTGAAGAGGATACTCAATTTCTTAAAAAAATCAATTCCCAAAACAATGCCATGGCACTTAATATAATCAATAATAAATGATAGTTTAGTTTTATTTTCGAAAATATTCTCTACTTGAGAGTTTAAGAAATTAAAAAACTAAAATAAGTTTTGGAAATTTTCTGTTTTGATTTTTAGTTTTAAAAAATAGAAAATAAATAAATAAGAAAATATGGTATACTTTTCATTAATGGTAAATCTGATTTGACTTTAAATTAATCTTTAAAAACTAGATTACTGAACCTATTTTTTTTCTTCAATTTTTTATTTAAATTGATTCACAAAATAATTTTTAAAAAGCACTAAAATCTTCGGCTAAAATTGATAATAAATATTAATCAATTAATTAATTAATTACAAATCCTTTTTTCTTTTATGCTATTCCATTTTAATTACAACTTTTAGTTTTCATACCATTGGTATTTACATAACTTATTTTCTTTTATTTTTAATGTTATTATTATTTTTTAATTGTTTATTAAATTTTATTTGTAGATACTGACTTTGGCATCACAAGATTAGCCAAATTTCACATTTCATATAGTTGTACAAAAAAAAATATAGAGAGAGAATATTGTCTTTTTTTATCTTTTGTTTTTTTATCTTTTTATATTCTAAATTATATTGGTAAGGACATTTTTCATTTTATATTTTCCTACAATCACAATGTGTACCATATCCCTCCATTAACTCTTGTCTCTTCCAATTTTGATAAATTTTTGTCCCCACACTCCACTGCATCCCATCAGGCATCAACCACGCCACTCCTTTTGTTTCCCTTCCTCCCCATCCACCTATGCCACTTTTATTGGTTTCTCATAAAAAGAGTCTTAGTCATTGCACTCATATTCAACTCAAATAAATCCAAAGAGCAATATTGAATCATATTCTAATTGATGACGGGAACCAATAATGGTTTTGATGTCACATTTAAATACATGAATCTTTGATTTGTTAATGATGCTTCTTGTTTTCATCCAAATTAAAACTTTGAATTTCTTTTGCTTTTTAATATGTAATGATTGTATATCATTTGTATTCTTAAAAAAATATTACAAATCTAACAAAACAAAAAAAAAAATTTCATTTCAATGTAAAATTAATAACATTTTTTTTAATATACTCTCAAATATTTATTATTTTTTTTTCTATTTTGTAATTATAAATGGTATTATTGTAAAGTCATACATAATTTGTCTTTCCCGTAAAATAATAATAATAATATTTCTTAATTCGTTTGAAATGTCCAAAACGTCTTATAATTTGAGACGGAGAGAGTATTTTATCAGTTTAAACTAGCTTATAGCTTTAACAGATAAATTAATTTGATTATTTGATAAATTAGTTGTTACACTAACTGATAATTATAAAAATGACCTAAAATGACATTTTTAATTAAGAAATCAATGATTTCATATCTTATTATATTATATTATTAAATTAATTTTTATTCGATAAAAATTAATATATTAATAACAACATGCAAAATAATTTTAATATATATATGAAAAATTAAAGATATCATCAAAATATATAAATTGTATATAAGTTTTATGAGCTTTGCTATTTAGTATAAATATATTAACATCGAAATTTAATAAATAAATGAACGAACAAACTATATATGAAGTAAAGGTATTTCATAAAACCATTTATGAGAACATAATTTATTTTCTAATAACTATAATTTTTGGTCTGGTTAACTCATTCTTTTATAAAATATAATTTTTTTTCTTAATTTTATAATAAAATTTAATAAAATATGTAAAATAATAATATTATAATTTTAAATTTAGTTGTATTAATTTAAAATAATAACAAATATAAATTTATTGTTTAATATTTTAAACTAAAACTACAATAATATTTTAAATTTTCTTCACCATCGTTAATGAATATTTTCTTCTCCCTTGATGTTTCAAGGAGAATTATCAACAATATTTTTAAATTAATAATATAATTTATATTTAATAAATAAAACTTATGTCTAATAAAATAAAAAAAAATAGTAAAAATGTGTTATGGCATTCTTCAAAATTTCTATAAATTCAATTTTTTAAATATATATATATATATATACACACACGAATAAATAAAAAGTCATAAAGCTAAAAACTATAAGCTCAAAAGCTACTTCAAATAACTTTTGGAAAAAAAAAGTTAATTAAAAAACTATAAGCTGAAAGATAAAAGACAAACAGAATTTTTTAAAAAAACTATAAGCTGAAAGATAAAAGACAAACAGAATTTTTTTTTAAAAACTATAAGCTGAAAGATAAAAGCCAAACAGAATTTTCTAATGACTACACTCATTATATATATTTAAAATATGAACTTCTTCACCCCCACACCTCTCAATTCTCTCAAGCTCCCCTCAAAATTCTCTTTCAAAATAAGATCTTAACTGCTTTTAGCCTGTAAGTAAAAGAAACTGCTTTGACTACCGCATACTGAAAGAAAAAAAAAGAAGCTAAAAATAAAGGTTACATATGCTATCCATCAAAGTGGCTTCACCTAAATAGACAATTATTTTCATGCTCTTGTGTACAATCATTACAATCTGTCAAGAGTCCACATTCAAACTAAAGTTCATAGTAGTACTAGTCCTCACAAGTCACAACAGAAATGGACATTAACTACATGGTGGAGATTTTATAAAGTTGGACACTCATCGATTTACTATTACTATAAGTGGATCCTTGCAATCACTAAGTACCATCATCTTCAACGGCGTTCACCCGTTCACATTCGTCAATCCATTCACTGTATCTGCAACATTACAACAAAGATAATTGAGTCATTTGGTTGTGTGTCTACTGTGGGAGAGGAAATTTTCAATTCAGTAGTTGAACTTACATGTCTATTGCCTCAGATAAAGCTGCAAAGAGAGTAAAAATATAAGATCATTAGCTATATCACAGTAAATATAGTCCCAGCAGATATATAAAATACTGAATATCTCACTTTCCATAAGACAAATAACAGTTTTATCATGTCATGTGCTATAGTGTCCGTGCATGAAATTTCAGCCTCTTGCCGCTATACAAGGATTCTGTTTTAGCAAAGACAGAACCTTAACTATTATTAGGCTATGAGCTTATTATTATTAGCTTCAATGATAAGTATTCTTAAATTTTCACCTTTTTCTAAATGGTGTTTGATTGAGAGCAAATGCCAGAGAGGATAATAATGCATAAAGCAATAACTTCATAGAAAAAGTTAAACTAGAAAGGTTTGTGATTATTGATAAACAAATCTCAAGTGATTATCATATTAGTATCATGTTGTTTACTATAAACATCACTAACATATAATATTTTCATATCATCTTAGTTATAATCCTCATTTCCATATCTAATGTCAACCATGATAGTATGCACCCTACGGAATTTATTGCTTCTTTAAGACAAAAAATGCACATCACACAAAAACAAACCTGTGATGGTAGTGCTAAAGCTCTCCTGACATATACCACAAGAAGCTTCCCCTATCAAGTTCTTCATATCACTAAAAAAAAACAGAGACCAAAATCAAACACATTAGTATTCATCTCTAAAATAAGAGATGGAGGGGGCTAGGAGATTTCAGAGAAAACTTGTCCATAATGTTATCTGACGAACATGCAAGGAAATTAAAACCCTTCATGCTACATGCTGTAGTTAGAATTTACTTACATGCGACACTCAACACTGGAACCGTGATTGCAGAAAGGACAGCTGAAGACAGTGTCAAGCTTATCCATTCGTTTCTTTGGAGGTGGTTTTGTTTTTGCCTTCCTCTTTCCCATAGCTCAAATCCTGGATTTTCAGATATTCAAACACAAAAATTAATAAACAAAAACAGCATGCTAATTAAACTTTTCTAATCTGTTCATTTAACCAAGCAACCGTTCTCTCATATTTCTATACTGAATTATAGTACCATTTTCTAAGCAACGTCGAAATTTCAAGCCAAATCAACATGAAACCAAATATACCAATTTATATACAAAGTCAAGATTCCAAGCAAATTAAATATGAAACTAGGTCATATTATTTCTTTCCTGGAATTTTCCATTAATACAAAAACAACAATTTTTCATCAATTTAACAATCTATATCTGTGACAACATAATCCCTTCCTTTGAGAAATACTAGTAAATAGTTCATAAATTCAAACCCTTTAACTTCAAAACACAGATCATTCAAATTATGAATCGAAGGTGAGATTGAGACAAATATTTACGCATAAAATTGTCTCAAATCTGAACATTCAGAGGCTATCTATCTATGTTGACATCGTTAACCGATCACGAAATTTTTGACACGGCGAAACGTGGAAGGAAAAAAGGGAAACGAATCAAATCAAACGAAACCCTAACCGAATACAAAAAAAGGGGAAAATAAAGAAGATGAAATTGAAAATTAAGAGAACTAACCGATGATTCCGATCACAGAGCGAAAAACCGACGAAGAAACAGCGATCGATATCGGGAGAGATGAGAGTGTGTGCGGAATTGAAAAAGTGGGGTGAATAATAGAGCCATAAAGGAGTTTTTTTATGCTATGAGATTTGTCGTGTTCCCTTCACGGTGAGGTGAAAATTTGACTTAGAAATTCCGATATAGTTAATCTTATCCGTGTCTGTTCACCGGCTACGTCTTTAGGTATGATATGATTTTGCATGCGTATTTATTTACTGAATATTATAATTATTGAAAGTTGAAAATAAAAAATTTAAAAAAATTTAAGAGTAATGATAAATTTAAATTAAAATAGTGATATATGTAAAAAATAAAAGATAAATAGAAATATTAAAAAAATTATTGAAATTTGTGTTATAAAAGAGAATATAATAGTCGATAAATTTCTACTATCTAATATTTGAATCAGTAGTAAAGTTGATCTTATTTATAACAATATTATTTGTTTCCGTATATAAAAATATTTTAATTAATAATATATTTTATATATAAATATTATTTTTGTTTTGACATTATTTATAAATATATTTAAATTAATAGTAAAGTTGTTCTCGTTTATAAAAATATTTAAATCAAAATATTATTTTTGTTTTGAAACTATTTATGAATATATTTGAATCAATAGTAAAGTTGTTTTCGTTTATAAAAATATTTAAATCAAAATATTATTTTTGTTTTGATAATATTTATAAAAATATTTAAATCAATAATAAAATTATTCTCGTTTATAACAATAGTATTTTCTCTCCTATATAAAAATATTTTAATCAACAATGTATTTTTCTCGTATATAAATATTAATTTTGTTTTGACACTATTTATATAAAAAAAATTGAATCAATAGTAAAGTTGTCCCCATATATAAAAATATTTGAATCAGTAGTAAGTTTGTTCTCGTTTATAACAATAATATTTTTTTTGCGTATATAAAAATATTAGAACCAACAATGTATTTTTCCGTATATAAATACTAGGCCTGATTGCACTTTTAGTCCCCTTATTTATCCATTTTTTTACGTTTTAGTCCCTTTTTTAATTTTTTCAACATTTTGGTCCCTCAAGTTGTCATTTTTTGGGATTTTTTTAGCCCCATCCTATTTTGATTATATGGGGCTTAAAATGGTGATTTGATATGGTAAGTCAGATGTCATGTCATTTAATGAGTTGACTAATTTAATGACATGACATGAAATTGATATTTTTATTTTTTTAATAAAATTTTAAAACTTGAATATTTTTAATTGATCGTGTTTATATGAAAGGAACCCTAATTTTATCTTCTCATTCCTTAATTTCTTCATCTCCTTCCATAATTTCATCAACTCTCTGCGAACGCAAAATCACTATGGAAATTAAAGATCAAGCAAGAACGAAAAGCAAGGAACAAGTGAAATATTGTACGAGGTAAGTGAATTTTTTTTACTCAAATTAGGGTTTATGGTTTTTACGCATAATGTTTCCATTTCTAAAACATGTGGTCCCTTCTTCTTGTTGTTTATTCTGAATGCGGTCCCAGTTAATGTTGTCTAGTCTGAATTAGAGTTTATTATGAATGTGGTCTCAAATATTGATGTTTATTTTGAATCCTTTTTTTATTACAGACCAAGTTAAAATCAAGGCATTAGGATACGATTTCATCTTATGGGAAAGTTAGTGCCAGAACCTGTGAAGTGGTATGTTAACAGGGTAATTTCTGAAACGAATTGGGAATGGATATGGATTATGTGTTCTATATGCAATTGGAAAAGTTGATTCACAATGAGAGATATACCAATATGAAGTGTTTATTATGGTATTGGAACCCCAAGTATAACTTTTCGCGTGGCCTTAGACCCATAAATTTTGATGAAGATGTGCGAAAATTTGTTGCTAATGTTAAGGAATATGAGGTTGTAGATGTGTATGTAGAGCACTCAGTTTGTACTCTTGATGTTATAAGTGAGACTGAGCTAGGAAAGGAATATGACAATGTGGAGGGAGGAATAGAAATGAAGATGACAATGCAAAGGGAGGGATAGGAAATGAAGATGACAATGTGGAGGGAAAGGAACATGACAATGTGGATGGAGGAATAGGAAATGAAGATAACAATGTGGAGGGAAATAAAGATGACAATATGGAGGGAAATGAAGATGACAATTTGGAGGGAGGGATATGAAAGAAATATGATAATATGGATGGAAAGGAACATGACAATGTTGTAGAAGCAAGCTTCATCTCAAAGTTTTGATGACGTCAACATCAAGATCAAGAATATTTCATTTGTGCAAAAAGGCAAACGCTTTCAAAAGACCAAGATCAAATGGAATGGAAGTGATCAACATTCAAAGCTTCATGAACATTTGACTGATCAACTTTCAAGTTTTGGACACAAGTTATGGTATATCAAAATCCATTAATTTAATTGATATACAAGTGTTCAACATCTTTATCATTTGATCACATTGCATAAGCATATTTTTTAAACTATTAGAATTGGTATAACACTATTTTTATAAGTATTTTTCTGAAAATTAGCAGTGTTAACCGATTAACCATATAGGTTAACCGGTTAACTATTTCAAATTTTAAATATTCTGATATAACGTTCCAGTGTTAACCGATTAACCATATAGGTTAACCGATTAACACTGAACGTATTTTGAAAAATGGCTTTGTTTCAAGTTCAAAAATGGTTTGAATATTATACTAGTTCATATTTTGAATTATACTCAAATATACCTGTTGGAAAAGGTGTGTTTACACATATAAATTCTGAGTTTTTCAAATTGAAAAACAACCTCCATTAATCATTTTCAAAACATTCTTTGAATCAAATTCACCACTTTCAAATACTTTTCAAATCTTTTCAAAAGTGTTCATATTGATCATACATTTTCATATGCGTAGCATTGAACACTTGTGTTGAAATTAAAAGAGTGAATTTTGATCAGAAGGAGAAGATCAATCTCAGCATTGATATTACCACTATTACTCTCAAATCAAAGTATTCAGATTACTTGTATTTTGACTTGTGATCCAGGATTGTTGGACACAAGGGTGAGTGTTTACAAGAGGATTGTTCTTGTACACTTGTTGATTTTTATTGTTTGATAGTAGGCCTCACCGGTTGATGGTGTGATAGGTTGTACTTTATTAAACAATAGTGAAACTCTCTTTCATGTTGAAAGGGGAGTGGAGTACTCTCGGATTGTGAGGGGAACCACTATAAATCTTGGTGTCCACTTTCTTTTTACTTTCTACTGCATTCATCACCAAGAACCTAACCAGTAAAATTTCAAGAATACCGAAAAACCGGAAAAAGTCCCTAAAAGCCTAATTCACCCCCCCTCTTAGGCATACTCTGTACTTACAATTGGCATCAGAGCAGGTTAAGGTAACTTGTTCCTATCGATCCTAATGGCTTCCGCTAGTACTAACCCGGTTTTCAAAGATGGTGGAAGCAGTAACAAGCCACCACTCTTTTCTGGGGAATACTTCGATTTTTGGAAAATCCGTATGAAGGCACATCTTGAGGCTCAAGGAGATGGTATATGGGAAACCATAGAAACTGGTCCGCATGTTCCTATGAGCGTCATAAATAACGTAGGCACTCCAAAGATAAAATCCTCATATGATGAAGATGACAATAAGAGAATTTTGAATGAGAAGAAAGCAATCAACATACTTCAAAGCGCTCTCAGTATGGACGAATTCTTCCGTATATCACAGTGTAAATCAGCAAAAGAAATTTGGGACACCTTGGTAGAAACGCATGAAGGGACAGCCGAAGTAAAAAGATCAAGACTTAATACTTTAAGTCAAGAATATGAAATGTTCCATATGCAGCCTGGTGAATCCATTGTTGCCTTACAAAAGAGATTCGTTCATCTAACTAATCATCTGATTGCCCTCGGGAAGACCTTCACCAATGATGATCTCAACTTGAAAGTCCTAAGATCCTTAACAAGAGAATGGCAACCAAAGGTGACCGCTATTTCGGAAAAGAAGAGTCTTTCAACAATGACATCTGCTTCCTTATTTGGCAAACTTCAAGAGCATGAACTGGAACTTGGAAGGCTTGAGAAGCATGAAAGTCAAGACAAGAAGTCCAAAGGAATTGCCTTGAAGATTGACACAAGGGATGACAAAAATGACGAATCTTCCGAAGACGAAAATTTCATGCTTCTAGTAAAGAAGCTTGGTAAATTTTTTAATAATAATAAAATTTCCTCTTTTTCTAAAAAGAATAGACATTTCAGGAAAAAGGAGGCACCCACATCAAACCAAGAAATTACATGTTACGAATGTGGGAAACAAGGTCACATAAAGTCAGATTGCCCGAA